AATCCGTTCAAATGTTCTGTCACTTGTGTGAGTAGGGGTTAAGTATGCACACCAAACTAAAGAAAGGCATTTGTTAATGAAGGCTGATAGAGGTGTGGATTTGACCCACTGCCAAGGTCTTGTAAAGATGATCTGATCTACTGCTAGGTTATTGCTCTGTAGATGTAGCTCATTACAGGATGTGTTGATCATGTCCTGCACTGGGCCAACACAAGGATATGTGCTACTAGCATATAGACACACGCCTCTGGTGCATGTGCCTGACACGCTGCCACTTTTGCTTAAAATTCATAGTGTATGAGGCCAGGCAGAGTTGCTGTAACCATCTGGTCAGCTTTTTTGTAAAATACACATTCTTAGAACTTTCTTGCATCAAAACAAAACAAAAAAACCTGTTCTTCTTTTAAAAAGTGCTAGTGCTGGTGATTTCACCAAAATTCAGAAATCATGAATCAGTACCTTTTCCTCTGCATGTTGTCTGCCCCCTCCCCACCCCACCCCCCAAAAAAATCACAAGATTGCAAATCACAGTATTTTAGGCTATAAGAATGGATTTTTAGTTCCTTTAATTAGTAGTTTCTGGCTTTCAGGATGCTCATGAGTGTCTTCACTAACAATGGAGGTTTTAACTGTCCTTTAAAATGAGCTGTACCACAACCTTTGGAATCCATGATGCCTGGTTTCTTTCTTACAAATTTGGGTTTCAGGACTGACTTCTCTGTTGTCTAATAAGATGCACGTTCAGAGTGAAGTCTTTCCCATGACTGGGCCCTTCTAAATACCTTCCCCTTTTTAGATTCTCTGGTATCTAATAATGGTTGAGATTAGGTCTGATCTCTCCCACTGTGGAAGGACTAATAGGCTCTCCAGCTGCATCCACCTGCCAAATATCATACGCCCTTAGAAGAACTGCCAAGGGCAGAAATCCTGTACCGCAGTGCGGCCTCATTTGTTCAGCTTGTCTTTCAGGTGACCAAAAGTTCATCTGCACGATTAAACAGCCAAAAGCTTTAAAACTGGTGCAACAGAATGTGTGAATTTTTCTTACAGATGAAAGCAAGTTTTCAGTAGTCTTGTGAAAGGAAAATGACATTTTCAAATTTGATGTGAACCATATTATATTCATCTCTCTTGAGCCCTTTTTGAATGTTTTTTCACAAGCTACTGCATCAAGAAGGGTACACTTAAACCTAGCTGATGTGTTTGAGTGAGATAAGGTTTGCAAGATTTTCAATCTTTTTAATCCCATCAGGTGCTTCCTCTATTTAGGATTTAAAGTTTCTCATACCATAGCCAATTTAGCCCACAAGGCATGGTTACCAGAGCATCCTCTATAGAATGATAAAAACCATTCTTCCCTTCTGTATGCATAGATTACAGTTTTGTCGAGGTACATCATTCTCTATCTGAATCCAAGGAAGGACTGTCATATAAAGTAGAGCTGCGTTAGTTCAACCAGTCAAGAGGGAGCCCTGTAACAAGGGGTCATTATGGGTCCTGCCTTACTCTGCTGCTACATGATAAGGACCAGAGTAAATTACATTTCCTGTGACTCACCTGCAATTGGAGGAAAATTTATTGCTTAGTCGCTGCTACAGCATATGGATTTGTCTCTCCCTGTGTACACAGACATGCACTAAGTATGCAGAGAGTCCCACTGAGGAGAACGAGCCTCTTATTTGGCAACAGGCTGTTGTGAAAACAGGCTGTTTCAGGGGCACCTGCAGCCTCCAGAAGGAAAGGGAGTTAGCTGGGTAGTGTGGAAACTTCTGCAAATGGGTCAAAGAGTAGTGTTGTTAAAAGCCAGAAAGCAGGTGCGCACAATGTCCTTTTTGAGTGGACGAACGGTGTCAATAGGCAGGCAAACCAGAGCAGCTCTCCTGCTCGTTAATTCTGTCTCTCGTTCCACCATTTCCTGTTCATTAACTCCCTCCTGCGTTTCCCCTCTCTGCCGGAGCACATTACTCAGACTCAATCATTGTCACTGAAAGGGGGAAGGGTGTTGAAAGAAAGCCAGAGCAAGACCTCGCATTCCCCACCTCTCCCAAGCTATCTTTCCTGTTAGAAAGAAATCGAACAAGCATTTTACACTTCCTCGGAAAGATAAATGTAAGTCAGGTTTAAGGAAGGTATGTGCCCTCCAGCCAGGATTTACCTTTGTGCTGCTTATTCTGTCAAGAAAACTTGTTTTTTCTGAAGGGACTGTCTCACCCATGCTCTAAAGGAAGAAATAAACGCAAAAGTCTGGTTTTGTTTTAACTGGCTTTTGTAAGGAGGGCAATTTGTTTCTTGTTGCTTTTTGTAAGTTTTGATATATTTTAAGCGGGAGTGTTATGCTTGGCTGATCGTGGTGGCAGCTGGATGGACTGTAAAGACACACACACAGATAGACTGTATAGTTGTTCTCTGAGGACAGTAGCAAAGCCTCCCTTTTGATAGGTATCTGTTGCCTTAGTCCATGTTTCTGGACCACAGGGGTGTCACCTATGATCCCAGGTGCTGTCCAGAATGGACAAGGAGCCAGAGGACCTTCTTTTATACCACTCTTCAGATCAGGGAGTCAGGTGTAGGGAGTCTCTGCAGAGGTAACCAAAACCGTGTGCAGGGGAGGAAGAGTTTGTGGGCTAGAGAGCTCACACACTGGCCACAAAGCACTGCGTCTGCTGCCAAGAAATACAGTCTGCAACATAGCTTTTTTTATCTACTGTATTGACAGGCACCAGGAGTGGCAATGTCTTGTTAATTATTATTTCATCTCCTTTATCCAGACCAGTTAGTACTGGACTTGTTTTCCTACACAGTACCATTGCAAGGGCTGGGACTGTGGAACCACAGTCAGGCCCCCAGCTTGAGTGAGCCCTGGTGTGTCCCAGGGGGCTGCAAGTGCAAGGCCAGACTGACGGACCACGCAGCCTAGAGCGGCTCTGCCCACGTTTGCTTAGGCTGACCCACCGGACTTAGTCCTTTCACACAGAAACGCTGCCTATGGTCTTCGGATGGCTTGATACAGTTCTGCCATAAGGCACTGATTCACACTAAACTCACCATTAACAGCTACCATAACGTGTGCTCGTGATTGTAAACACCTTGATCTAGGTGCACTACCCTTTCATGTCAGCTTTGCATTAATGCCCTCAAAGCCATGTAGAGGTACAGAAGTGATACAAAGCAGCAAGGAGAAAACTGATGCTGTTCACACATTCAAGCCATTTCTTAGCAGAAACAGCACTCCCAAATCCGTGAGACTTTTCTTGGCAATGTACTTTCAGCTTTACTTTATTCCAAATGGCTCCTGCCTGCCCAGCCCTGCACAGTCAAGTAGCCATGGCGTGAGCGTTATGATGAGGAACACCCAGTGCTCGTAGTATTTTCATTCAGCGTTAGCTTTCAAAATGTATAGGGATGGATGGGGGAGCAGGGTGGCGAAGAACAAAACCAAAAAAGCCGACATGCATTATTTAGGACAAACAGACTTGATTATAAATCCTGAAGGTGCTATAAAACTGATGGATTACAGGCTCAGCATTTCTGGGATTTGAGCTGTCTGGCTTCCACTGTGCTTCCATTGTGTCAGCTCCCTCTCTTTTCATTGCTTTTTGCTGGAAACGTTGCACCGGAGCAAAAGTGGAGTGAAGCAGGTCCTAACTAGACCCAACAGCTGCCTTTTGTTGCTGCTGTGGAAACAGCTGTAAGGGGGTAATACAATCACTCTTCTGTTACCAGTCAGCTGCATATCATAAGCACCTTTCCTGGATGCAGGGGACCCGGAGGCAGCTCCTGTGGTGATGTAAAAGCTAACTGGGCCCATAGCATGCTATTTTGTGCCCCATTTGACATACTAAGCACTTGTTGCTCTGTCCCTTGAGGATGAAGTTGACTGAACAGATATTCTGCACCGCTTTTATTACAATGAGACTCATGTTTCATTCATGTGCAGGAGGGGCCTTTGCACTGGTTCCTGTAGCGGAAGGAATGGTTTCTTGGCTTTTTGATCTGTTTGTCATGTTTTGTGCAATAAAACTTTACTATGATGTCAGTCAGCTCAGGCTTGGAGTGCTCACGCTTGGGATGTTGCGCTTTTTTCTTTTCCTTTTTTACAAATAAGCAAGTTTTGGATGGGTGATGAGGGTTATTTTTACAAAAAACAAACTTACCTGGACTCACACCAGTTCTGTATTTTTTCTGTCTGAGATTACTGATTTAAAACCACATTTGATGGAAGAATATCTAATAAGTCATACAAGAAATCACAGAAAAATTTAACAGCTTGTCATCGCAGGTCATAGATTGTAATGGGCAGGGCATTATTTGAGTGTACTTGGAGGGGGACTAGGGGTAGTTGTTCTTAGAAAACAAACACAGACAAGAGTATGTAAATACTGGAGACAGCTGAGCATCACCAATAAGAAAGTGGTCTGGGGATAGCTTGCCTGAGATTTAGATATTGATTTTAATATGTGTCCTTGGTCACAACGGTTAACGTATTTGAACTTCAGTTTCTCCCCTATGAAGTCAACTCGTTAACCTTTTAAAGTACTTTAAAGCCCTACTTTTGAAAGGGTTGTAACCAGTCAGAAACTGGATACACTGATTCACCAAATATCCTTTGCAGCTGTTTTGATAATATATTTTCTGCTGAAGAGAGGTGGAGTATTACAGTATTTCACTAGCTAAATACTGTGTTTGATGGAGTCAGTCTGTATCAGAACATTCATCTAAAGATCACAGAAGGTGAGCCTTCGGAGCATTCATTGGTTTGGTACAGGAAAGCATATAACATGCTAGCTGCATGTATGGGTGCTACAGCAGATGCATCAAGAAGAGATCCATTATTGATCAGAGATGTAAGGGGTGGTGTTAGGTATCTGCTTGGAAAAAAAGAAATAAATGAACAAATGTAAGAAACTAAGTCAAAAACAAAGAACAGTTGCTACCTGTGTAAGTTTCTATGCTGAATGTCTTGAGTTACGCTTTGTTTACTCTGCATTTTTACATCCCAGGTTCAGGTTCAGCGGTCGTATTCTTGGCCTTGCTCTCATTCATCAGTACCTTCTTGATGCTTTCTTCACAAGGCCGTTCTACAAAGCACTACTAAGGCTGTAAGTATAAGCATGCAACCATGCAGAAACCATGCAGAAACAGTGATCCCGCAGTGTCCTACAGAGACGCAGACCCTCGTGGAGTTGCTTCGAGCACTCTGACCTTCAAGTCTTTTCCGCTCTTGGTTGGTTGGTTGGTCTGTGATAGAAAACAAATGCATTTTAATTTTTTTTTATTTTCTTCAAGAACTTGCCCTTCATAAATATTGACTATGTTGATAAAAGTGCGTAATAAGTATGATATTTAGGAACACACATTTGGAAGTACTGACCCATAATTCCAGAGTTTACTACTGATGAAAAGTTATCAAACTTCAACTACGTGGAAGACTGAAAAGCATCTTTGATGGAACAGAACAAAACAACAAAAAAAGGAGGAGGGGATCATATTAAGAAAAATACGTTCTTTCTCATGCCTCACTGGTGGAGTAGGTTTTCATTCTAAACACATCTCGGGTTAATTTGGAATGTTAATATAGATATAAACAGTGAATGTTTCTTGTTGGTCTTCTGCTGTCTTTTAAGCTAGTAAGTAGAAGCTACCAGTAATATATTACTTTCAATGTCAAGTTTATAAGGTTAACTTTAATTGACAATCTGTCCCTCTTTAATTAATAGACTGCAATAAGACAAGGTACATAACATTTGCAGCAATAAGAAAAGCCATAAGTAGTAAGTCAAGACTGCAATTAAATGACAAAGAGCAGAACAAAGCTTAGCTGAAATAGTTTATCATTTAGGATGATTCCAAATCAGCAAAGATATTTGTCTTAACAGTCTTTCAAGTTCTTTAACTGTATTTAATTTTATTTTTTTAACAATGAGTATTGCTGGGGTCCAAACACATATCTGTATTGTATCTGAGCTAGTCTGGAAATAGCCTGAAACCTAGAGTGCTCCCTGCATCCTTATTGCCCCTTTAGGGGATCTGAAACCAGACCGCTCGTAACATCCACCTGCCCTTTCAGCAAACAAGGCCAACTCCTTATTAGCAGAAATTTAGGCTGCCTGGTCTGCCTTATTTTAGTCTTGTGTGTTCACCTCGAGGATGATAGATACGTGGAAGCAGCCAGGCACAACATGGTGGGGCCCGTCCGGACTGAAGGTAAGCATGTGCTCTGAAGCGCACGGCATCCTGAAGATTCACATAAAATCGAGCCCCAGGGGTGCCTTCCGACAGCAAATAGTGCAGGCAGCCAACAGATTTGGCCTTGAGCCCAGTCATGCAAAGCAGACAGTTGCAGAACTGCTTTAAGAGGGTCTGTGTAACAGGCTTTGATGTTAACAAAACCAAACGAACACCAGCTTTATGTTGGATCTTCGGCATAAATTTGTTCACGTTCTTAGTAGTAAGTCATCCTGCCAGTAGTCATGGGGGTCATATATTCAGCTACATCTTTTTTCTTGCCTCGCAATCAGGCCGTGTGATTTAAGTGACTTAGAGTACCTGGATGAAGAGTTCCATCAGAGCTTGCAGTGGATGAAGGATAATAACATCACAGATATCCTGGATCTCACCTTCACAGTGAACGAGGAGGTGTTTGGACAGGTGAGCACAGCTATGCAAAACATCTGAAAAGCAAATTTGAAGCTGACAGAGTTGAGCATGATGAACATCTTTCTGTCAGAACAGATCCTTTAGCCTTTCAATAACATTTTCTTCTCCTACCTTCTGTTTCTTTCAAGCCACCTGTTTCGATGCAGATGTTTATTCTTAGGGTGTATAATATAAAATACCAGCCCCCCTACAGGCCTATTGAGCCACACACTGATGAGCATGAGGAATTCTCTGAAGTGGAGTGCAGCTCTTCTCTCCAGGGTGTAGTTCGCACTGATGTGGCATTCGGTGAATGCAAGCAATGTAACTTAAAGCTGATGTGACTGAAAGGATGGCGGGTTAGGAGGGAAGAAAAATGTTTGGCAGGTGGTGTAAGACCTGGCAACTCTCACCATTATTTTGTCTGATACCTCCCTGTTAGATTCTGTGTCTCTTACTTACCTTGCATCTACTTAACAACTTGGTATGTGTGTCCATTTATTATGCTTTCTGCCACTCAGCTCTGCCTTAGTCAGACAATTCTTTTTAAGCTAGCTGATCTGGATAACTATAGCCTTAAATAGGGCGCAACCCTGGCTTAAGTACAGACTGGCAACCAGAACAAGTGTCTCCTGTGGGACTCTTTGGCTTGCACTGAAGCCCTGGTGCTCTTTGCTGTTGTAACTCATGCTAGATTATAACTCTCTCTGGAGAGCCTTGAAGGGACCCAAAGCAATATTCAGACCAAGGTTAAGGACCTCCAAGGAGACACTGAAAACCAGAGAGGCTGAAGAACCAAGCTCACCAAGTACTGCAGAAGCCTAAGGGATGGAAGTTAACTCGTGTAAGGAGCAGACATGCAGTGTCAAAGGGAGCAGAGAGATCAGGTGGAATATACAGAGAGTGGCTCTTAGCCCTTGAAAATAAAGTTGACAGGAGCAGTTTGCACAGACCTAGGGTAGCTCTGTGAGCTAGGGGAGAGTTAGACTAGTTTCTGAGGGGAGGAATTCTAGCCCTGAGAGTAAAAGGGCTGCTCCGCTATAAGCTTGAAAGTAACAGAAAGCAAGCAAGACTTCAGGGGATATTTTCAAAACTGGATTTAGTCTGCTTAGAGTACAAGATCATGACGGATGAGCAGAGTCAAGGGTGGATGAAATGAAAAGGACGGGGCAGAAGAATTGAAGTAAGAAGCCTCTGTAGGAAAGGTAACACTGTTTTTCCACAGACTTAAATGCAGGGGGTTTTCACGGGCTTTGAGCCAAGAGCTTGCATGACATTCAATTGACAGTACAGTGGTTTCCCTGGAAGGTATGGCTATATAAGACTAATACACAAAGACAAACAGGAACATACAGACATATTCACAAAGACAGGTGAGACAAGTTTGTATTTATATTGGAAGATTACAAAGATGAATAAGAATCTCAGCCTGAATTGCCCTGATGCATCTGAAGGTAACATTTGGCACGCTAATTACCTGTTGTGCTCTCCCCAGAGAAAAGAGCTAGACAATTACGTAGGAGTCTGTTGTGGAAGATATGAGATGGCTCCAAAGAGAATAGAAAAAAATCACAATCTGTTGTAGGTACTGTGATATAAAAGCAAAAGAACACTAAAAGCCAGATTTTTATGCTAGTTCACATGTTGTCTAGTGCTTTGTATGTACTAGACATTAACCTTGCTAGATCTAGTGATGGGGACAAAAAAGGTTCTCGCTGTGAATTATGACTGTCAGAATCCAAGAGTCCTAAGTGAAAGTAAGATTTTCCCCCTTCTGAAATTTGCTAAGTGCTGACAGCAAAATAACGAAGAAATTGCAATCGCATTTTATGCTCACAGATGGATCCCAGTTGGAAATTCTTGCATGCCAAGAGTATCTGACCACTTAAATGCCGTCTGAACATTGCTTTGCTGGATACACGTGCAAGCATAGATCACAGTGGGAGCTCTGCTAATATTTGGGAAGCTGGATTTCAAGGGTTAGGTAAGGGAAACAAGAAATAGTGGCTCTTGGAGAAGCGGTGTGGTAGATGGGTTACAGCCCTTTTGTCCTGCTTCCACAATGACTTTATTACGGACCAGCCACTACTAGTTTCCTTTTTTCTTTCTTGTCTCATCTCTGACATGTATTTAGCTTTTAAACCTTTCGGCTCAAATCCTCTTTCTTGGTACCTTTTTTATTAGAATTTGCTACTGAGGAGCTCTAGCCTTCTTGCATGCTGGAGCCCGGAGCACCACTGTAATAGCAAAGATACCTTGTTAAACCAAGCGTCACACATTTTTACTGGTGGGGACTGGGTGCCAATTTGAGAATTTTGCTTATAAGACTGAGAGAGGTGTCAGTTGCTTGTGACCCTAAGTACTTTCTCATGCTTTTACCCGGTAGAAAGTGTTCTTCCAGGCCTGTCTCCGAGCTCTATATCTCTATATGTGGGTAGGGCCTGTCTCCTGAGCCCTGGCAATTGCTCTAGTCAGGTAAAAGGAATGGGCTAGAGTGGTTGAAATGTCTCCTCGCTACTCAGAAACCCGATTCTGAATTCTAGCTCGCAGCTGTGGTTAATGCCTCTATGAACAAGAAAGAAAAAATAGGGACACATTGTCATTGTATTGCCTGCCTTTAATTCGAGATAACTAATTGTATTTGAAATTATATGGATAATGAGAAGTTGAAGAAATCACTAGCACGTCTAGGTGTTTGTGGGAAGTCTTGCAGGAGATTTAGAACATCTGGACTTACGGTCGTGCTTAAAGCTAGACAACGTTTAGTCATTGGTTTTGACAGATATATCTTAATTCCGCACGGTCATGAAGAATACAGCATGGCAGCTGGGCCAGAGTCTTACCCTCTGGATGATGCAGCATTGCTTGTATAATGGTGATGCAGTGATTTCCATTTGGGAATTTAACCTGAACCAGCTAAGAATTCCTAACTCATTACATCCAGCCTTACTTGTTCTTGCTGTTTCTCAACAAAGCTACACATTAGATGACTCATTGAGTGTTTCCATAATTCATAATTGTTACAACAGGTCCCTCAAACAAAGTGACCTAAATACTATATATGCTGTGTGCTGTCTGCTGGGCTAATAAATAGATAATAAGATAAATAATATGTAAATAATACAAATAATGAATATGTATTTATGCAGCTCATTTACTATCTGCGCTAGACATCAGTGTTACAGCAGCAGCAGAAAACTGAAGAGGAGAGCAAAACATTCTTCCTTTTAAATTCACTAGACTGAATGTGAAAATAATTGCAAGATAAATATTTTCTGTCACGTGTGGAGTATGTGCTTGCTGGGTAGAATCTAGATTGATTCCTTAAATCCCTTCTCAATCTTAAGCCTTAGTAACCTAAGCCAACTAAATTAACCATTAAATAGCAATGAAATGCTGTAGCTCTTGGTTTAAAAACAAGTTATTTACAGTACGAACACTTCTCAAGTTTGGATGGCTGATACAAAACTCTGAATCCCACAGTGACTGTAGTTGTCATCTGTGCAGGATGCTGTACAGGTCTTGTTTAGGTAGTGTATCAGGACTATTCATTTTGTGATAATTTTTTTGGCTGTTGGCATTTCTGAGTAAACACTTTTATTAGCACTTGGGAAAGGTTAACACTTGTTGCCTAAGAGACAAGTAGATATCCCTTCCAGTTGGTGAAACAGTCTGTCTATTCCAATACTGTGATTGTCTCTCCATCCTGTTGTTTCCCATACCATTGCTTGGATAATCTACAGCAAGTAGCAAGCTGGTATGGTTGTCACCCTCTCTGCAGCTTCTAGTGGGGGAAAGGAGAGAAGGATGAAAAGATGGGCCAGAGTGGCACGTTGTACATGGCTTACAGTTGGTGCTCTCCAAATGAATCTTTGCTGGTACAGTTTGGAGTAACCTAAAGGTCGGTCCAGCTTCAGCTGGGGATAATAAAGCTAGGGCTAGGGCTGAGGGGGTGTCCCTCATTATCCTTTTTGTTTCTACTGCAAATGGACAAGAGGCCAGGAGTCCAGAACTAGAAATATAGCTGTTATATTTTTCACTTATATTTTCAAAGTACAACTTAAATTTGAAACACAATGTGATCCATACATTGCTACACCACTATTTATCTTTGTTCTGTAGGTGACAGAGAGAGAGTTGAAATCTGGAGGGGCAAATACAGCAGTGACAGAAAAAAACAAAAAAGAGTACATCGAGAGAATGGTTAAGTGGCGAGTGGAACGAGGAGTGGTTCAGCAAACAGAGGCCCTGGTCCGTGGTTTCTACGAAGTAAGTAACAAAACGATGCTCCCACAGTCTTCTATTCATTCCATGAATGACATGGCCCCATGGTTAAACTATGCTTCATCGGTACCCTAGGAAATAGCTAAACAGACACAGATGGCAAGGAATTGGAGTGCCTGGATCTGCAGAGACAGGGACCTTGGATATGGCATGTTGAGCATTAAGGAAGAAAGGAAAGAAATATGTATTCTGAATATGATAAAGCATAACGGTCAAGGGTTAAGAAAGATACTGCTTTCCATTCACATAGTAAGAGAAGTGGGCGTTTGCAAATTTTGTTTTACCCTGCTGTGATACAAAAGATTGTGAAGAACTCTACACTTCAGTGATGAGCTGGTTGTGATACAGGCCTTTTTTACCAAGGTCTGTAGTGACAGGACAAGGGGCAACAGTTTTAAACTGAAAGAGGGTAGATTTAGATTGGACATAAGGAAGAAATTTTTCACGCTGAGGGTGGTGAGACACTGGAGCAGGTTGCCCAAAGAGGTGGTGGATGCTCCATCCCTGGAAACATTCAAGGTCAGGTTGGACGGGGCTCTGAGCAACCTGATCTAGTTGAAGATGTCCCTGCCCACGGCAGGGGGGTTGGACTAGATGACATTTAAAGGTCCCTTCCAACCCAAGCTATTTTATGATTCTGTGACACACTGTGTCTTTAGGGACTCATTCCAGTAAAGTTGGTCCTAGGATGCAGTCAGCTATTATCTTACTGGTATTCATGGATGCTGCTACATTGTTGTCCCTGGATTTTGCTAATTTATCTTTGCCGAAGAGCTGGATCTGAGAACATCCTTCTGGCAGAGCTGCCACAAGGACTGCCAAAGTGTCGTGGTTTAACCTCAGTCGGCAACTGAGCACCACACAGCTGCTCGGTCACTCCCCCCCCACCCCAGTGGGATGGGGAAGAGAATTGGAAGAGTAAAAGTGAGAAAACTCGTGGGTTGAGATAAAAACAGTTTAATAATTGAAATAGAATAAAATCATAATAGTAAAAAGAAGAATATACAAAGCAAGTGATGCACAATGCAATTGCTCACCACCCGCCGACCAATGCCCAGCCAGTCCTCGAGCAGCAGCCCCCCGGCTAGTTTTCCCTCAGTTTATGTACTGAGCATGACGTCACATGGTATGGAATGTCCCTTTGGCCAGTTTGGGTCAGCTGTCCTGGCTGTGTCCCCTCCCAGCTTCTTGTGCACCCCCAGCCTTCTCAGTCAGTAGAGCATGGGAAGCTGAAGAGTCCTTGACTAGTGTAAGCACTACTTAGCAACAGCTAAAACATCGGTGTGTTATCAACATTATTCTCATACTAAATCCAAAACAGCACTGTACCAGCTACTAGGAAGAAAATTAACTCTATCCCAACCGAAACCAGGATAAAAAGACTGGATGAAAACCTGTGGCTTTGCTGACCCTCCCATGTGCCCCCCTTACTAATCATATTCAAACATGTATCTTGCCCTGGCACCTGTATAATGTAAGTAGAAGTTGAGGGCTATCTCGCAGAGGGAAATGAACTGAAAGAATGGCAACCCTGGAAAATGAAACAGCAGATAATGGACACACAGAATAGTACTGGTAACTGATAGCTCCAAGCAGTCATGCGCTGACATTTACTGCGGGTGGAAGCCGGTGAGGGTGGCTTTGTAGCTGAATAGACTTGGTCAGCCCTTTCCTGTAGGAAGGGGTTGGCTAAATGACTCCATACAGCTTACTAAAGCGTGCGTATGGTTCACTAGCTTTTTCTCCCTGTGAATACTGCAGGCCATTAAAAGCTTTTGGTTTCACATAATGAAGAAAGTGAACCTCAGCTGCATCTTCAGTGGATGAAGACCTGAGGGCGCTCCTACGCAATTGTAATCAAATTCCAATGTGAAACAAATATAAATTGTCCATATTACAAATCTAGTCTTTGACTATCAAAATCGCTTGTCAGAATGAATGTAACAATGAAGAATGTTCTGCACAGATTATGTCCTGTCGCTTGTATTGTTTCATTTTGGTTAAATCTCATGCGTCATCATTGTTTGCAGCTCAAAACATCAGCAGACTCCCTGAAGAGGAGCACAGATTTATCAGCAGAGGAGTGGAAGTTAGCTGTCAGCGTGCAGACTTCATCAGAATAAAGAGCTGGCCATCAGAGCCATAGTTTTATGAGACGTTGCATCTGCTTTATTTCCAGTCTGAAACTGTGCTTACAAGTGTTGTTTGTTCCAGGTTGTAGACTCCAGGCTTGTCTCTGTTTTTGATGCCAGAGAACTGGAGCTGGTTATAGCTGGCACTGCAGAAATAGATCTCAATGACTGGCGTAACAACACAGAATATCGTGGAGGTAAACTGCCTGCTGATGCTTGCTAATATCTTGATTGTTTTCAGTCTAAAACATGAAAGACTTAGTCCATCTTTTCCTTCTGTCTTTCCTGAGGGAAATGCCCTATTTTGTTCAGGAAGTTTTTGTGAAGAATAACTCATGAAATAAAATAAGTAAGATCTCAGGTTTGGATCAACAGATGTAATAATACTGAAATTGCTTCTGCTACTTCTATCCAGATTTTACCCACTCAATTCCTACCGACTTAACAGGAGTTTTCACTATTAAGGACCAAAAAGGATTTGCAGTATTAGATCTAAAAGTTACTTACTCAAATGACTGTGAATGAACTCCTGGCCTCACTGAAAGTAATATCACAAGTCCTCTTGGCTTCAGCAGGGAGCTGAATTCAAGAGCTGAATTTCACGGTTCCCAATTACACTTCAACAAAATACAGATCTTGCTTAACCAACCCCTCACCCTAAACTATGTCAAGCTGGATTTTTTTCCCTTCTCCTCTAATGCTTGGCCCAAATTCGCTTTAAACGCTGAGCATGATTTATCCAGGCTGTCTTGGATGATGGATAAATGTGAAATCCACCAGTTCTGCACTACAAAAGGAAAGTCCCTGAGGTTCACATATCCTCCCCTGAAATACAAGGTTTAAGTCTTTGCTGCTCACTGCCCAGCCTTTGTGTTACCTTGAAATACCCAGCTTACCACAAGCACAGCTGGTCCCCCAAGTTACTCTGCTCCTCCTTTTTTCTGTTTAGCTATTGAAACAGATACAGCCTGAGTTTATATAGATACAGACACAGCACAAACCAAGGCACGGAGCCCCTCAGGTGGGAAGTTTGCCAGGGAAGGGCTTGCGGCGGCAAACTCCTCTCCATATGTTGAACACTATTGCAATCCAAAAGAGAATTTATTTGGGAACCAGAAATTGTTAAGTCATTAGGAGTTGCACTGTGTGGCATATCGCAGTTGGTCTTTTATATCTCCTGCAGGTAACCCCAGTTCTTGCCAAGGGATTTGTGAGAGGCCAATGTACCGCAAATATATATATATATATTTGAGTTTCAGGGTTTCAAATGAGTTAGTAATATTATAGTATCCACAGCCAGGACAAGATGGGGGCTGGGACCTACTGCTCATCAAAACCAAGATATATTGTTAGGTCAGGATCTTTTCAGTAGGAGATCTACTGCCGCATGCTAGTGGGAACATATTTCGATGTTACACTTCCTACTTAGAGGGGGTGATTTTAATTTCTCCCTCTTGCTTCTTGGTTTAGGTTACCATGATGGACACATAGTAATACGGTGGTTCTGGGCAGCAGTGGAGAGATTTAACAATGAGCAGAGACTCCGGTTGTTGCAATTCGTCACTGGAACATCAAGTGTGCCATACGAGGGCTTTGCAGCTCTCCGAGGGAGCAATGGCCTACGGCGCTTCTGTATAGAGAAATGGGGTAAAATAACCTCCCTCCCAAGGTATGTCCCAACTAGGATACAAAAACAGAAGTGCTGTGAGAAAGGTGAGCCTGGTACTTTTTTGCATCTCTCTGCCAGTGAAAGATAATGAATACAGTAAGGACATCTTAAAACAGCAAAGAAACAATTATCAGTTTATTCTGTAATTACATTCAGAGAGGTGTTTTCTTTTGCTGCCTTTTTGATTTGCAGGCTCAATTTAAGCTACTTTGAATCCTGGGAAATGGTTAAGATAAAGATTTCCATAGGTCCAAACCTAGTTCTCTTATTTTGATTCTGGAACAGATCCAGACCAGCAGGAGCCTGTCAGCTGATTCTGTTCCCTTTACTTCCAAAATACTAGTAAAAATACTTGTGAGTTTACAGAGCCATGAAAGCCAGAATCTGTCTCTGAGTTTTGGCCAGAGACCTGAGTGTAATCCCTTCATTTGCTCTGATGGTTCCACTTTTTCATCATAAGGAAGCTTAGTGAAGGGACTTCAGACCGTGTGGTGATAATACCCAATTTGTTACATCTAGTGCAGTCAGCCAACTAGGAGCAAATGAGCCATAACGTCATACAGAGTCAACAGACTTCACAGTGCTTCCGAAAGGGGAGGGGTCATCTTCCTTTTCAGAATAAAGGGACTGGGGCACAGCGGGGTGGTCTGACTTGCCTAAGGCCACCCAAGAGAGCCGTGGCACAGCCAGTGATACATTCAGCTTTGAGTTCTGCTCCAGCACTTTATCTGTGACCAGCACTCATCCTTCCTCACTGAAGTGAGTCACCTTTTCTTGAATGTCCTTACAGTTGCCTGAAGTTCTGCCCCATTGAGATTCCAGAGCATTTTTCATGGGGCCACATCTCAGCACCTCTGAGATACTTTTCTTACATGACCCTTTTACATAACATTTGCCCTCTGAAGGGTGGTTTCTTCCTGCTCTTCTGATTAGCTTTCAGCTGCAGTCCAAAGGAGGCTACTTTTATGGCACAGAGAAAAAAATCTCTTCTCACAGACCTTGCAGATATATTCAGACAATCAATTAGCAATGGGTCTGGTCTAGTTTTCTAGTTACTTGCCGTCCATGTTGTTTACCCAGAAGCATACTATAAGACATGGACTTGAGCAGACCTCCAGAGTCCTCTGGAGAGGGAAAGTCCAAATACGGTCACCCTCTTAGTACAAGCCTGCTCAAGTCCATACTTATGCATTGGGGAGACACAGGAGCTGGACCAGGGCACTATATCAGCAGATATTCTGAGCTGACATCTTACACTGACTCTCTCTAAAGTCAGGAAAAGGGAAGTAAGTGTTTTTAAGGCACAATTCATCTCACCTGAACACAGATTTTTAAAATAGCTCAGTTGAATTGCACCTAGTACATTCTGATTTATGTCCGTTGACCATAAAGACTCTACAGAGACTATATGGAGAACTAGAGCCTACATGAAAGCTAGATGTAGGCATTGAGATTTAAAAACAGATGAAGACATGTAAGGTCAGTGGGATGACTCACGCCCTCTGAGCTTCAGCCAGCAACGTGGAAAGAAAGCCTGAGAGCTACTGTTTGCTATGCGTAGGCCTGATCCTCCTTTTGCAGCATATATATAGTCTGGTTCTATGTAAGGGTTTCAGAGCTGACCAAGGGCATCCCTGCCTGTAGACAGGCAGCAAATGGAAGTCACAGACTCGTGCGGCATTTCTGCAGAGCTCTCTTTGCATTCCTTCTGGGATGGAAAGGGGCGAGAGGGGAGGGTGGACCTTGGCGCATGCACAGAAAATGCCCTGGGCTTGACCCATCAAGTTCTGAAAAGGTAATTGGCCTCTTTCTGCTCTGCTTAACTTTCTTTGTGAACCTAGGCATTACTTATGACCTAGATTCAGTTAGCCCCGAGATATTCACATTAACAACTTTATGTTTGTCTGCTGATCACCAAACTTGTTGCTCTCCCTGAACGAGGCCTCTTTTCCAGGTGAAAGTTGTTAGCACCTTTTAGAAGTCTTAGAGCTAGGCATTCATTTTAGCCAGGGGAAAGAGAAACAACACTTGCTCATAGGGAATAAACACAGCTTGATCGCTGTGAATTATTACCTGCATTTTTATAAAATTATGGGGTCCTGCCAAGTATACACAGTGTTAAGAAATACATAAAACACAAAGGCTAAACCTGGAGGCTCCCTAAATCCTTAGTTAAGCAACTAAATAAATGTTATTTTAAACTTTTTTAAATGCCTGATTATGGATTGCTCATGTTTATTTAGATTTACTTATGTATTTACTCAGACTTAGAGGCTAAAAAAATGTCATATGTCATATCCTGTAGGCCTTTTGGCCCCTGTGATATGAGTGTAAATAACTTTAGCTGTTTAAAATAAACCACAACAAATTCCCTTGTCCTTCTAACAATTCCTACAATTTCACAGTGAGAGTTACCCTTGCTCCACATTTTCAAAGTCCTAGGAAAAAAAAAACAGCTTTCTCATGTCTTAGCAATCATCAGATTTAGTCGTTCATGTGCTCAAGTGTGGATTGCACCTCTTAATTACTGGCCTTAGTTCTTAGGCCATGACCCAATAAACGTGATGCTGTGAGAGGTGTTCTGGAAGCTTGCATAAAGCTGATGCATTTGGCTTTCCTGACATCCAGGTAGATGGTGGGTCACTGGGGATAGGTTAGTCTGGCCTTTGGGTTTTCAGCTGCTTTACAAAGTATCGAGATAACTTTTAGCTCTATCAGGAGAGTCCAGGACACTCTCTCTGTTCTCTCACTCCTGCTCCAGATGGCTGAAGTAGTTAGGCGACTCTCCCCTACATCTTATTCTTACACTTTGGCAATGGAGCATGCAACTGTCATTGGCTTATAGTGAGCAAAGGTGTGATAATACCTAAACCAGCCATGCTTTTGCACTTGTGACAGCAACATGGCACTCCCAGAAAAGAGGCATGGTGTAAATTTCTAAAATGCAACACTTTTCAAAGAATAACCACTAATACATAATGCCTAGAGTGCTTCTTGAAAGCACTGAGGATAAGCAAGACTTTTTCAGGAAGGTTGAGAATCCGGTAACTTCATTCTAAATTGGTGCACTTGTTCATCAGTACCAGTTCCCCTACATGAACAGGGTAATGGTGGTGTAGTATGTTCATATAAGACAAATAAGAGTTAGATTACACCAGTGGTTTATTTCTGGAGCGTGCGTGTGTACCAGACACATTATTCCTATCTATATTTACTTTGAGTCCACACACATTATAAAGTCAAAGTACTATACAGCTCAGAGATGCTGCTCTAATCCCAGATCTCTAGACGATGACCCTAAAGCAGGTTCCAAAGGGACTGCCAGATTTACAGGTCTGTCAGTGTAAATCTACAGCATGGTTTCTTCCAAACTGATGTAGCTTGTCATATGAAATAACACTGAATAGGTAACAGGTTCGACCACTTGTTCGTCAAGGTTAAGTTTTACTCTCCCTATTTCATATGCAAAACTTTCTCCGAAAATAGAGGAGTTACGTATTTTACTTCTTGTAACCAGTTGCCTGAGTAGGGATGGATGGAGAATTCTTCCAGCTATACCTTCTTCCGAAGCAGGAAGCCTCTCTTCACCTTTCCTGGGTCATGCAGATATTTAACACGGAACCAATTTTAGCAGTAGTTTTGCAAGAACTTATTCTTTGTTCCCCACCAAACATTAATGAACAGACACTGGCTTTCTAGCTGGAATAACATAGCTTCATCTGATACTGTGGGAGCAGAACTTCTGGCCCAAAACAAACCTGTGCAAAGAACTAGCAGTGTTTCCTACTATAGCTATAGGAGACAACAGTTCCCTATTCTTAAAACCTCAGCCTGCAAAAGCATTCAGTGCCTACAAATGCCGGTGCCCCATCTTCTGGTTGCGCTCCCCACCTGGCCAAAACTTCTGTCAGCTCCAAGGTTATTTATGTTTGCGTATCAGTTAAGTAAGGACCTCAGCATGTATCCCAGTGATTCAAATAATCACATTTGATGCAATGAGGTCACTTTCCCCATCAGTGCTGAGCTGCAACTACCCTTTCATCAAAAGAGATTTTCATTCAGCAGAGCAACATTAGTGATTACCACCATACTGCCTGTGGTTTATGTATGATAAAGATTACCAGTGCTGGTAAATATCTGATCTTTTGTAAGAGAATTCTCTCCCTCTCTATTAGATGATCAAATATTTAATCACCCCAGAATCCCATTTAGCAATTAAAAAAAGATTGTGTATGATTACAGAGAACTTTGTTCTCATAATTTCCTTCTTTCCCAGTGGACTGAGTGTGTGTGCTTTGCTTTATCATTCCCTACCTCCCATCCCTCTTCTCTTTCCTCTTTTCTCACATACAACAGAAATACCAGCTACACATCTACATTCATCTATTAAGCAGTGGTTCCCAGACAGCATATAAAGTGTTCCTTCTTATAGACAAAATGAACAAAAGTTGATACCTGTGGGTCCTGAGATTGATCAAAGAGGGGGTTGTGGGTTCATCTACGGAAAGCAAGGTGAAAAGGAGAAATGCCCAGTTTCTGCCTGACAGGCATGGTTATGTTAGAATGCAAGCCTTATTTTAGTTGATAGGTTCAAGCTGTAAATAAGATAGGAGGGAGTTCTGTGCACACTTACTGCCTTTGGACTCTCATCGTTACGGGGATTAAAGGAAGTGACAAAGAAAAGAAGAATGCAAAAATCTTAAAAGCTTATACTCATAATTTTTAGAGAGAATTCTTAAGAGAAAAGAAATAGCATAGCACTGTGAACAAGATTAAAGGTTCAGACCCACCAAAACTACTTTGAGCAATAAAGACAGACTGCCAGGAAGAATGAAACCTTAAGTGGTCCATTTACTACTTTACTTACTGGAGGATGAGGGCACATGAGGGTCAGAGTTGGTTTACATGACTTTATCTTGCATTTTCTTCTAGAGAAGCCAGAATCCTTTCCATAAAAGCTCTTACCAATCTAATTCTTATTCCAGACTTCTCACTCCCTGAACACCCTCTCAAATGTCAGTAGGCTTATGTGGTAGGAGGCTTAATCAAGGGAAGACAGACTTTTCTATTGCAATGACTATTTCTTGCACTGCTGATGTAATGTTTTCACCCCAATATGTGCAGCAAGCCCAGTACTACAAAATAGCAAGTGTCCCCTGGATTATGCTTACTGTAGTCACTCTCGCTGGGATCAGTAGTAGGAGGTCAATGCCATTCGGGAGGAACTTACCCCACTGGAGGACAAGGCACAGAGTTAGGCGACAGTGGATGTTATGGAAAATATCCTTGCCGCTTAATTGCCCTGTGTACTGCAGTATCACACATCAATATGATATAACAGACTAGAGGCTGAGCAATTTGTCTTTAGTCTGGTTTGGAAAATAAAGGTTTCAGCTTTCAGTTGCAAGAGGCAAAGGCGCTATGCACAGCAATACTGAGGAGAGAGGGAACACTGAATGAGAAGGAGTCCCAGTCAACCCTCTCTCTTATTTCAGGTGAGGCAGAATGTGTTGTTCAGTTACACAAGTAGACATTATGTCTGACCTTTGCAGCAAAGAACCAATTAGACCCATTGCTGAATGTATACCAGACAATTTTGCACATAATTATCTTGTTGTAAGATTGAGTGGGCTTCACTGGCATCATCGGAGTTGCAGTAGATCCACATTAGTTTCACAGACCAGAATTTGAACTCAGGTTTTGCCCTTAGCAATATATTGTGTTTTGCACCTTAAGTAGGTAGAAGTGTAAACCTAACCAGCACAGGACTCCTGAAAATTAGTTTCCATTTTTTATTTGATGGCATTTTTTGCAGCAAAAGGATTTTTTTCTATAAAGTTGTTGAACTGGAGAACACAAGAGTGTTGCTTGGCAAAATGCTTCAGTGTTTCTAGACATGTTTTCTTCCTTTCTTTGTAATAGTTTCTTCCCACAATAAATTCCTTGAGACCTTCTACAGAAGAGTCCACTTCTGTAAACCTCATAATAGGAAAAGGAATGGATCTTTTTTCTGAGTTTGACTAGGTCAAGAATGACTAAAAGTCAACAGCATTGCAAGGTTGTTTCATAACCAGTATGAAATGAGATGGATGATGATCAGTCAAGATGAATGTCTGCAAGAAAGTAAACACCAGAGTCAGTGGCTGTGGATATGTCTGCACTGCACAATAGGATACATGACAGCAATGTCTGAGATGCTGTGGTCTCATACAGTTAAATGTGCCACGGTTAAGTACCATACAGAGATACTACTTTAGGTTCAGCAAAGTTACATTAGCAGAATCCACACCTGAGCCACCGTGACTATGCTGCTTCAGTTCTGGAGCCAGGCAGCTGAGCTCCTCAAGACCGGCTGTTTCTGAATGGTGCTGTCTTGCCTATGATAAACACGTTCTGAATGAACTACAAGAATCCTTCAGTTAATTAACTCCCAGTGGTTGATACATACTGGCAATGGATTGTAGAAACAACTTAGGCTGCCAAAGATTGCTGAGATAACAATAAACAGTGCAGGGCTACTCATGGATAATACACATGAGCTGCCATGTTTAATTTCAAGAGATGTATTAAATAATGGCTTTATTAATGTTCCTTTTTTACTAACTCACGTGTATTCCCAGCTCATTTCCGCAAATTCTGTGTTTATTGTACACTCTCTCTGAGAGTGACCAGCTAACAAACCTTCATTCAGAAGGGGAAAAAGGATGGTAAAAGCTCTTCGAATTGAAATTGTGTGATGCAGTGAAAATTACGTGCCTCTGGCTTTTTCAGTTGCCCGATTGCTTTTAATGATTCACCATTGGTGCTTGATAAAACTCTCCCTCTGAATCTGCAAGTCTCAGGCCAGCCCATCTACCAGTATCATGTTTTTCTCACTTTGTGGGTGGCCTAAGAGATGACTAGCATGGTTTCAAATAGTTTCTCCAAGATAGCTCTTCTACTTCAGTTTTGAAGAAACAATATTGAATTAAATTATGACATAGAAAAGCTAAAAGTAAAACAACTTCACAGCTTCTAAAAATACTAGAGGCCAGGAGCCTTAGACATTGTTACCCGTTGAGGCTACTTTTCCTTCTGTAGGGTTTTGTCAATTCACATTTATCAGAGGGAGCAAGAGGAAACAGAAATATTTCTAACATCGTGTAAAACTCCAAGCTGACTGAAAAAAATGAAACAATTTTAATGAAAATGTACCCACCCCACCCCGTTTGTTGAATGAGTTCTACGTTTTTTCAGTCAGTTGAAATGGACGAACTGTTGCGGCAGGGACTGTTTCTTTGCTCCACATTTGTATAGCACCTCACATAGTGAAGTGCCGTCCGCATCTGGGTCTAATTGCTGCTACCAGAAAAGCTGCAACAAGGTGAAGGCATGCGTGGAACCCGTTCCACAGCTTCTTTTGAAGGTGCTGCCAACTGGGGGTAAATATAATGATAGAACTGGGGGAAGAGAGGGTCGTCAAGTTGGCAGCTTGCTCTGCGCAAAATATTTTGCTTTTGTCTTGGCTACTACAAATAAATAACAGTTAAAGGCCAGACTTGCAGCAGATGGCCAACAGCTGACTTACAGGAACATTTTCAGCAACCTTCGTTCTTCAGTTAGCAGATCCCTGAATGGTCTTTCACCAGTCAGCCCTGCCTCACTATAAACACATGCTGAGCCCATTCTGTTCGTATAGTTCATCACATTGTGCTTGTCCACTGGTGCAAAACTTACTAGCTGCTCATGTTGGATGTACAGCTGAGTTGCATTTTTTTGGAAAAACTCAAAGCAATCAAAATTATAGTAGTGGAGTTTTCTCTCTATCGGGGCCTAGACCCCAGCTCCTCAGTGACCTCCAGCGTTCTTCTCCATGAAGTTCCCTGCAAGATCCCTGCAACATCTAATGCAGGGATAGCAGAGAATGATGTTATGTTGATACTTAGCTTGTCTTCTATTTGAAATATTCACGTGTATGTGCATATACATTTCAGTACCTCATATTTTGGTGGAATTTGAGAGTTTTACTTTAATAAAATTTCTTTTTATCTTTCTTGAGTGAACTTGAATATCTTGAGTCTCAGTAGGAACTTGTTTTCTCAATTCTTATTTTCTCAAGTTATTTAGATTAAACTTAACCTGTAGCATATTTTCCTTTTGCAGGGCACACACATGTTTCAACCGTTTGGATCTTCCACCTTACCCCTCATATTCTATGCTGTATGAAAAGCTGCTGACAGCTGTTGAAGAAACTAGCACCTTTGGACTTGAATAAGGGGGTTCAGGCACTTCTGGTGTTTTTCTGGCTGATGATGTCACTTTTCCTGTCCACCATCATTTGATCTTGGTTTCCCATGTTTTTATTTTTGAAAACAAAAGAAACAAACAAACAAAAAAAATCAAGATTGACAAAAGCTGTGCATGAAGAACTGCTGCCCTCTAAGATCTAACCTTCATGCTTTCATCCTCTGTTTCCAATGGACTGCTAGTCTGTATGCAATAGAAAAACAACTGTCTCAAGGTTTCTGTATATCTCTACATACCTCCATTAATAACAATGAAAATACAAATGCAAGTTACACTACACTTGACCAAATGTTAATAAATGTTTACTTCCACCTACGTTGATTAAAAAATAAAAAAACCTCATCAAGCATTCCAAGCTTTTATATGCCCACATCTTCTAAATTAATTCACAGCCCATCTTACTACTTAACCATTGAATCCAGTACTAGGAGCTGGTCAAATATATCTTCATCCATCCCTGTTTTCCCTGTATGTATTGTCCGTCTGAGAGACACCTATGAGCAAAACTGAAATTTTTATATACGAACTCATGATCCACATCAGTTGCATCAGCTGGAACTGGCCCAGATACATGGTGCAGATAAGACCTTCAAAAACTAAAAAACCAACCTGTAACGCAATGCAAAGCATAACAGTGATTGTTATGATTGTTACTTGCCAGTACTGGAGAGAACTTGCACTTCAGAGATATTGGGAGGGGCATCTCCATTGTAATGTTTACCACACAAGAAGCACAAGGTTGTGCACACTCAAGAAGGATGTTTTATGTAGCATAAAGGACAAGGCTCCCTTACCTTAGTATTGTATATGACAAGGAAAAGGGGAAATAAGAAGAATGTTCTACTCTTATGAATACCCTTGGGTCCTGTTTACCAGATCTTTGTTTTCTGATGTTTAAAATGCTCCTTTCCAAATGAGGAGTCTAGACAATCCCATCCCCTGTGTCAGAAGCCATTTATTTTCTGTCAGGCTGGGCTAATCTGGTTGCTGGGGGCAGTTTTCGGTTCTGTCATTTTTCTTTTCTTGTTCAGTGCAAATCTCCATAACGTCAAGAGTGGCTGTAGACAGAAGGTTTTAGTCTAGGGTCTATTAAATGAGAAGCTGCAGTGAATGAGGGTGCTTGTCAGGGATGAAGGGGATTGTAACTGGGTTAAGAATTTGTTGTACTTCCTCTTGGAGTAAGCCCAAAGGCCCTCCAGTCATGTTAGGTACCACTAAACTAAAGATCTAGCTCTTGTTACTGCAGAAATAACCCTTTTCAGTTTAGTGCACTTTGCATTCCAACTCTGAAGCTGGGGAACGAAAGGAAAACAGCAGTAGGCTTGTCTTTGGATGGATTTTGCTGAGGCTGTTACAATCAACCACACTGCTCTGATTGTTTCCTATTTATTAATCTTTGCTGCCCTTGTTTTTCAAGACTAATCTCAGATTGAAAGTGTTTGTCTTAACTGGGAAAAGGAAATACGAAGTATCTTTACTTCTGACACTAAATATGTTAAAGGATGCATGAAATATGAAGTGAGAGACTTGTGAAGGGTGAGTGAAGGTAAGTGAGAAGGTAACATCATAGTGTCTAGCAGCTCACATGAAATACCACACCCCCTTGGGGGCTTGTTACTAGTAGTTTTGGGTTAGCTATGCTTCAGAAAACTGGAAAATCAGGAGATCAGTTCAATGTCTGATGCATCTACTTCCCGTAAGTTTTCTCTCCAGAGAAAAGAATTGGACCCTGCTTTCTCACGTATTTTTATGGTGACTATATGGAAACTCATCACACTTGAAAAACTGCATTCTGAGAGTTTTAGAGCATTTTCCTGCTTTGATTCTTGGGTCAATAGGTATTTGAAAGGTGATGGACCCAAAAACATGTTTCTAAGCAGAAATGATGGCTTTTGTTAATGATTTATAAAATATTTGGGATATTTAAATTGCCCCATTCATTCAATTTCTCTGACATTTCAGCCACTTTTATAGTAATTTACTGTGCGGCTTTTACTGAGAATCTATTTTATAGTACATGTGATTATTCTTATTGAGTACTCATATTACAGTTGCGTATGGAGGCTGCAGCTACAGGCCAGCTTCATTGTACCAGACACTGAAAATGATGCTTAGTATTTCCACAAATGAGCTCTCAGGCATCTATTCCACATGACCAGCCCCACTGCACAGTAGAGGCGGAAATCTTAACTTTTTTCCGAGTGCATCTGTCATGTGCACATAAATTACATCAGAGTGAGTCACACCAGGAGAGACTGAACAATGAAATCTTCCAATGTATGTGATTTCTGCCTCTTCACCACTGGGCCCCAAAATCCAGCGATTCCTGTATGGTTCCTGTTTTATTCCTGGTGATGTTACAAAATTACCTGCACTATGTCAAATGTTGGATGTTTTCTAACAATAGCAGAAAAGAAAGAGAAGTATCCAACTGGTTGATCCATGTTTGGCCAAGGAAAATAGTGCATCAAGAGTTGTCTCATTAAAATAGTAAAAAAGTAAAAAAAAAAAAAATCCAACCTTTACAATACTGTATAGTTAAATTTTTTTAAGTATTTGAAAACTATATTTTATTAAGAAAAAGTGAAACTATTTTTTGTAGCATAATAAAAAATGTTTGTATTTCAGAGACAGCATCAAACCCCACTGATTGAAACAAGGAAGGCTTTCTCCTGAAATTCTTCTTCACGACATGTTCTGGCACTCGCCACACACTAAGCTAGATTAGGTGTTAGGCATCTCCATGTTTGGCTGATGCCATCTCAAGTACCTTGTGTGTTCCTGCTCTGGGAAACATGCAGCATAGCCAGCTACTTCCCATCAAAATCCTTGGTCCAAGCTGTCTTCAAGTGCACAGCCTAGTATTTTTAAAAGGTTGCTTTATTAGGTGACTGTGATGACATCGAAGTAACAAGGTTGTGCAGATTTCCTTGCAAGTTTTTTTGGATCTAAAGCCAGGAATAAAGGAGGACAGTTGACTATCTTCATAAAACAAAGAGAAAGAAAATGCCATACTCTGCTTTTCTTGCATTCTATCATTCCAGTCCTATCCCTCTCTCTTCCTAAATGCCCTACCCCAATAGGTTTTTAAACACTGACATCATCCCTAGGATATCCGGATCGACACTTCACAGTGCATTTCTCCATTCATTGCATCATACCATGGGCTGAATCCGGTCCCAGTCTGGAGTGAAGGGGAAGCCATGCATCTAAGCGGCACCGTAATGTTAAGAGTAAGTGAGGCAGTGAATGGTGCTAACAGGAGAGAGGGAGTAACCCATCTCCCTTGCCCTGTTATTTAACCTGCCCATTATGCAATTAATTGACTTTGTTGTTGTAGTTATGTGTATGCAAGGCATATGCCCTTCCTTGTTCACCTTTCGATTCAAATGCTGTTACTCGCTCATACAATCACCTGTGCTCTCCCCAGGTCTGCATTTTCATTTGTAAAACACTGACTATTAATTACAGAATTTCTGGCTTCATTGTTTTCCCACAGGAAAGACTAGAAGATATTCCATAGGGCAGATTTACAGTGAAATAATCTGTTCAGCTCCTTCACCTCAGTTCCCTTTAAACATGGTGGTGGCTAGATTAAGATATGACATCAACATCAATAGATTTTAAAGTGCAAGTGAAAAATAGGAATAGGCAATCTGACAGCTTTTGTGAATTGCAGTTTTCGATAGAGCCATAAAGAAAAGACTAGAAGATATTCCATAGGGCAGATTTACAGTGAAATAATCTGTTCAGCTCCTTCACCTCAGTTCCCTTTAAACATGGTGGTGGCTAGATTAAGATATGACATCAACATCAATAGATTTTAAAGTGCAAGTGAAAAATAGGAATAGGCAATCTGACAGCTTTTGTGAATTGCAGTTTTCGATAGAGCCATGAATATGGGTAATTTGTACGTTTGGTTTCAGAGGGCCCATATCTTTCTCAAAGTAACTGTTGTGATGGTGTTAACGGTAGAGGGAGGGGAAGGAATGTTTCTGTTTATGAAATCCTGTTGCCATACTACCATTAAGCTGAAGATATGAGAATGAAAATAGGTATTTTAAATCATCAGTAGGTCTTCCACCTTGTAGTCTCACCGACTGTTCAACCACATAAGCTATGCAGGATTTGATCCGTACAAACAACCGTACCTTACTGTTAATTGCATCAGGTCTAAACCTGATAGATGCTGTCACTTCAGTCTGTAGTACGTTACATGAGTGTTCAGTTTCATCATGTGGTTGTGCATATTCAGAACTTGACTTTTATGTTCTAGGGAGATCCGTGGCTATCACAAGGCAAGAAGTGAGTGATCCATACTACATCTAACGGAGAAATCATGAGTTTTGTACAGGTCTGGCACAGAGGACTTTTTTCACCCAGTTTGCTCAAGTGCCCGTGAACTTTTCAGTGAACCGTAGCTAAGGTTTGAGTTCGTAGTCTAGTCTGAGAGACAGCCTGTGGGGAGGGGGGGGTGTTTGTTGGGTTTGTGTTTTGTTGTTCTAGTTTCACTGTAACAAATAGTTGACATACCTCTAGCTGAAAACAGTAGGATACTGAATTTGGACATGAAAATCAAATAAGAAATAAGCTAAAATACACACACACAGAGGACAAGTTAAACTCATCCTTCGCTATTAATCCTGTGACAGTCTATGGAATTCCAGAAGGACAAATTTGACTGGAGATTTGTTTAATTTCTGTTGAAATAATAATTATTTGCCCTGTCTCCATAGTAATATTAATAGGGCTTCCCAGTCAAGTTTAAACACTTTCAGTCAAATGCAGACCAACAGATCTTTCTACAACAAATGCGGTGCTTTTTTATTATTATTCTTGCTGTACCTCAGTGTTCGTTATTAAAAGAAAAAAATGACTGCAATATACTAAATCTGGGATAGGTTTTCCAGTTATCACAAGGTCCAAAAGATTGGATTGTTACTTTCTCTCTAGTGAGTCATGTAGTTCCTTTGTTCTAGTAGAAAAACAGATGCCTGTAGATAGTAGATACTAGGTATAGTAAATATTGTACCATTAGCCAAATTCTCTGCAGCTTCCGATTTATCTAACAGAAATGTCTGTTACGGTTTTTGTTAAAGACTACGTAAAGTCAATGGCAGGAAAGGTCCTCATTATTGGACTGATTTTGCTTATATTGACAGAAAAATGTCACATGATACTCAGGCTGTGCTTTCTATTCAACCATATCACTATAGAGGAATGTCAATAAAATCACTTCGTTATGGCATTGTGTGGACTGTCTATTACAAATAACTTATTTTGTAGAGGATGTATTTTACTAGAGTGGGTGGAAACTGGCACTAGTTAAAGTCCA